CTCAGTGCAGAAACCAACGGGTGACGTCACGGTAGCTACGTCCATCTTTTATACAGTCTATGGAGAGAACATTTGGTGTAAATGACCTGAACTGGCTACTTGTGACTTCTTCCACTTCGCCAAAATGAAAATCAAGTTGAAGAGTCGCTGGGCTTGACACACCTCCAGAGAGAGTTAGAAATGTTGCAGGAGGGCTGGGAGCGGTGTATCTCTGCACTAGGAGACTGCTTGATGGGATTTAAATCTGTGTAAGTTTTGGATTTTTATACGTACTATCTTGTAACTTTTTGATCAACTCCTCGTAGCAGCGCTGAGCTACCCCATGAATTCACCCCATAACGTGTAGCCACATGGGTAGTCGACTCATCTCATGGAATGTTAACGTGACACTAGCTAATGCTACTTGTGGCTATTTTATTAATGGGAAATGACTCACCGTGCATATAACATGATTATACCTTCGCCTCGTCTGTGATGTCACGTCAGATGGATTTTCATAGATGATGCCGATGAAGACAACATGAACCCACGTTTCTTCTAAACGTCATCAAACTACGTCTTTTGTTGTTGTGAACAGAGTTGTGTTTTATCTTCTCTTTTTTCTCCTGTGTTTCAAATCAGTGTTGCTAGCTTGTAATAATAATGATCATGTGGTCACTGTGGCGTGTTTGTTGTGTGTATACACGCTGTGAATAGACATGCCCTCTTCCACAAAGTGCATTAGATCCTGAAAGACTGATAGCGGAGACAGAGATGAGAAGCAGGCCTTATCTTGTTCTTGAAGATACTCGGCCATATTTCATTATCAGTTGGTTTCATGCTCTTGGTTCTCTGACCAATCTCCTCAATCTCCAGGGTCCCTGGAGCAAGGAGGCACTCATCCGCACAGAGGATATAGCAGGGGTCAGGATGCCAGAAAGAGTGAAAACGGATGGATAGGATGATACTGGACATATTTTTGCAATTTCCTCTGCCTATTCCTTCTGGTCTGCTTTATCACAGGAGCCCATTTTCTCAGCCACCAGCCCGAAAATGATTTGTGCCTACCCATGCACCTTTTATACCTCATTATCTCCAAACTAAGTGAGATCTGAGGTGACACTTTAAAGCCAGCATTCAAATTGAGGCGTCCTTGGTGGGATTACCGCGTTCATCCCTTCTATCCTAATCTAACGCTACTTCCAGCAGAAGGCACAATCTCCCTCTATCCCTTTCAAGTCGGTGCGATTCCTCCATCGTGCCACCATGAAAGTGCTTTGTTTGAAGTCACGCTGCCTGGCCAGACGTTCTCTGAAGACAAATAGCGGCACATTGGGGGCTGGAAAACAGCAATAACAAGACTTCAGACGCCTCGTATGCTCTCCCCTCAATACCTGGACCACATGTGGATCTGCCCTTTGTTGAAATGCCCCGGAAAAGTCAATGGGATACTAACGCAGTTCACAAATGGAAACGAATCAACTAATGACAGTCCTAAAGCGTGACATTTACTAAATGGCATAATTTAGCTCATCAGGCCCCCAAAACAGTACATTGCTTTAGATATTTCAGTTTAGTCTTTAATTGTCTGAGCAAATGTTGTCCTGAAAGAGGACAAATTAGATTTTTTTCTGCCGTGAAGGAGTCGCCATATTAGATTCATTCAACCAATAAAGCTGCTGAACAATGTCATGCAATCAGAGTAATGAAAATGTTCCAAATTATTATGTTATTAAAGCAAAACATGTTGAATGCTACTATCTGGAGTCAGTAAATTAAAAGGTTAAACTCCATATTCAAGCCATTTTGTTACATTCTGACAAGCGATTATGACTTTATCCGGCAGCGATTACATTATCAGCTGCTATAAAACGTATCTGAACGCTTTCTACTCAATCCGTCTGGCCCATTTTTATCACTGCAGCTGCCACCCAAATCACTCTCTTGCCAAAATGACTTCTGTCTTCCCCTCTACCCCTCATAAGCCATTATCCTAAAAAAAAAGACGTCGATTTTAGAGGGCGCTACA